TAAACAAAACTAAGAAATAAGTGAGTTTTTTGATTATGAAAAAATATATACATATATATATATATATATATATATATATATATATATATATATATATTCCACTAATCAACTAGTTGTCATTTTAACCAAGTTAACAAACAAAGTTGTCAGCGACCACAAACATAGAACTTGAGATGTCAATTCATTTCAACCAGTAGTTCCATTTCAACATGATTAATAGAAACTGAATCAATACAAAAGGATTAAATATAAACGACATTAGTCACTACCTAATGATCAATCATTGTCATATGTCTGAAATTCTAATGTATATGTATATGATATAATTAAATTTTGACAGATTAGTGTCTATAGTAAATGTCATATGATGTGAAAAAAAATCAGATCAATCTTACTCAAATTAGTCTTTCTCCTGAAATCACAATCAAGTCACAAACTGATCTAAGTAAAACGACCACTGAAAACTTGACAGTACTGAATGACTATTTCGTCCTAATAGGGAATTTCTCATCAGTGCGCAACCATAACCCCATATCCGGAAATCGAATACATAACTATTGGTGTTGTGCACAAGTGCTTAAACTTTAGGCTACTGAAATGGCATTCAATAATGTACAAACCTAAATTTGATCATTTCAAGATTTTGTGAGATCCTCCTCCATTATCTCCACTGAGTAATTTCCTCACAACCGACTAGGCGGAAGTCCACTGGTCATGAATTCTCACTAAGACTATCGAGATTTCCTCTCATAATTAGTCATTAGTTATCATATGATAACTATCAGTAAAGATCAGTTTAGGAGTTGTGGAGATTGTTAAGTTTTTGATTGAAATCATGAACCGATTGATGTAAGACCACCACTGAAATCCTGGAAGCACTGGACGTCCGTTTCGTCCCATTGTGAGACTCTTCAGAAGTGCGCATCCACGATCCCGCTCGTGAGATTCGAACCCATGGCCTTCAGTCTAGCGCGTAAACGCTTAACCTACTCGAAGACTGAGGTGGCCGGTATCCAACAGTGCTAATGTCTAACCTCAACCAATCCACGAAATTTCGCGATCATCTCCCATTGTACTGAGATAGACACCTGTTTCTACCCGATACGGATTACCTCCACCGATCACGACTTCTCACCAGAACTCCGAGAATTTATTCACAAAGCTAGTCACTAGTGAACACATGGTTATTATCAGTTTAGGGGTTGTGAAGATTGCTAAGTTTTTGATTGAGATCATGAACCAATTGATGTTGTTGTAAAGATTGTTGACTAGAATTCCTTAATTTCCTCAGAAAAAGCTAATATTCTTCATGTTCCATAGAGTCATCCAGTTCAGGTTAATTTATCGATTAGAAGTGACTGTAGTACGTAAAACAGTTTTTCAGTTATTAACGGTTGTCGATTGTTTTTTTCTACCAAGAAGTACTTTTTAATTCTCAACTGTTCTACAACTGGTCGTCAAACGATTTTCTTACATAATACAATACATATATTGTATACGACAATAATCATATACTGGAAAGTTATTTCGTCATTGGTTTATAACTAATTGACCGAATTCGGATCATTAAATTACAGTGGAGTTCAACTGGATCTGTTGTGAGATAGTAACTCTATGAAGACAATGTTGGATGTGTGGCTCAATTTCATGGATTGGTTGAAGTTAGACATTAATACCGTCGGATGCCACCAAGCCGGCTCAGTGGTCTAGTGGTTAAGCGCTCGCACGCGAGACTGGTCGGTCCTGGGTTCGAATCTCGCGAGGTGGAGTCGTGGATGCGAACTTCTGAAGAGTCCTACAATAGGAAGAATTGGCCGTCCAGTGGTTCAAGGTTTTCGATGGTGTTCTAGATTTAATTGAATTATGATCTCAACTATTGAAATTACTATGATATCCACGAAAACCCCTTCTGATATGAAATTACAATTCCTTAAGACTAGAAAATCCTGACTGCTCGATTAGTAGTGAAAATGCATACACTATAATGCCTAAGCTGTCCAGTGTCTGAAGGCTTTGAGATAGTAGAGAAGATTTGTAGATTAGGTGAATGATTTTGACGGTGTTTCTTTTTCTCTGAACTGAATGATTTGATTGTAGAGTTTTCATCACTATTCTGAACGATACTTCACTTCTACCTAAAGTTTATGCTAATGATATCGTTCAGAATAACTATGAAAGCTCCACGATCAAACCATCGACCTCAAAGAACAATGCCTGTAAGCTTTGTCAGCGCAAATCTATCGTATTTCATTTTCACTGGTTGAAATCATGAGTCAATTGAAACTAGACTACCATGAAAAACCTGGAAGCACTGGATGACTGTTTCGTTCTAGTACGGGACTCTTCAGCAGTGCGCATCCACGATCCCGCTACCCGTGAGATTCGAGCACAGGAACTATCAGTCTCGCGCCAGACGCTTAACCAACTAGACAACTGAGCCGGCATCCAATAGTGTTAATATCAACCAGTGAAATTTCAAAAATCTCCACACAGCCCCTTCTGATAATATTTCATTTTATGTTATTACTAACTAGTTTAGCATATAAACAATAAATGAAGTGAGCAACCCAGCAAATATCCATTAACAATGACATATTTTCAACTCATAAATAAAAAGTATCTAAATACATTAATTCAAAGCTACTGAAATCTTGGAGAACTACTACAATCATCATCAAGAAGGTACAAGTATTTATAAACAGTTGTCTACTCAATATCCGTTGTCTGGATACCATCAGTAATAGTCTACTTTGGGAGAGGACTAAGCAGCTTCCTTTTCAAGAGAATATAATGAATATATGTTGGAAATGGATAGAACATATATTACGGAAATCATCAAACGGCATCACTAGGCAAATGCTAACTTGAAATCCTGAAGATAAACAGAAAAGAGGAAGACCAAAGAACACATTATGTCGGGAAATAGAGTCAGATATAAAAAAGGATGAATAACAATCAAAAAGAACTGGAAAGCATTGCCCAGGACATAGTTGGATGGAGAATGCTGGTCATCGACATATGCTCCTCGACGAGAAGTAACAGGCATAAGAATGCGAAGAATTCAAATCTTATGTTTAAGTTTTAAGAAGATAACAAAAACAAAACAAAACAAACTCTATTCAATATTACTTAAATATCAATTTAAGTAGGATACTAAAATAAAATCATTTCAGTTTCCTGTAAAGATTATACAGATTTGGGACATAAAATACTACTATTATTAGTAGGAGTAATCACCATAATAATCATAACAACCACGACATGAAATGAACACATGGGTCAGACTAATTTCATTCAAATCAGTAGTATAACATACTTTTATTGAATTATTTACGCATGAAATAACTTTTTAGTGATAGTTTTTTTTTCTTCTTATAAATATTACTATAATATTATATCAACAGTAATTGTTATCACATAAATAGTTTCTATTCTAAGTAAATAGAATTATCGAATGATTTTATTCTTCAATAAATAACCAAGAGTTGGAATAAAACTATATTATAGATATCAGGATAAGTGTTGAATGTATTAAGATGGGAAGAAATAGCGATAGCTAGCTAGCTAGATAGATAGATAGGTAGTTAGTTAGTTAGGTAGGTAGGTAGGTAGGTAGGTAGGTAGTTAGGTAGGTAGGTAGGTAGGTATGAGCGACTGGGCAAGCTCTCTCTTTCTATATCTATCAACACATAGATGCATTGTTATAGTTAACATTACATATTTAAAGGCATACAATCTTTCACTCCCCTATTTTATCTCCCTTTAGGTATATATATATATATTCTCTTTCTCTTTCTCTTTCTCTCTCTCTCTCTCTCTCTCTGTTAATTATTGGTTTATACAATGTTCGTTTAGATAGATTTTTCCCTTTTTTCAACGCATCAATAAACCAATCGGAATTAGATAATCTTTCTGAAATATATTTTCTTTTTTTTTTCTTCTTTTCTTTACATCTATACCTACAGGAATATTTATACTGGACAACTATAATGATTATTTAGGAGAAGAGTAAAGAAAAACACAACACAACACAACACAACACAACTAATATTCATTCACACACGCACACATATACACACGGACGCACACGCACGCATAGTTTCAGATAAAATAGTTCAATGTGCTTGAAGGAGTAATAAAAAAGAAAAGAAAAGAAAAAGAAAAATGAAAACAAATAACTGAGTAAAGAATTTTTACTGAAAACAAGAAAAGAAATATCATTTTATTTTCAACACTAAAATGTATACATGTGTGTATGTGTATGTGTATGTGTTTGGGGGGTAGGGGTGCGAGTGTATCGGTATGTATGTGTGCGTATGTATGTTTATATACGTATGTGTGTACCATTGTGTTAATAAATAAATGGGAATAGTTGTAAATCTCTTAAATGATGATTATAACGATGATGATGATTGGCTAGTAAACTATTGTGGTACCTTGTTTTGTAATTCTACTTATTGTGACCAGTTTTTTTTGTTGTTGTTGGAAAATTTATAATAACTTCAATGATAAATTGTTATTGTTATTGTTTGTTTCCTTCCATGGATAACATGATGATGATGATGATGCCGATGATGATGATGATGATGATGAATATGAAGAACAAAGTGGAATCCTTCTAGTATAACATTGAAACCATTTTTTTTAAAAATTGATTTCTATTTCCTTCAATTCATTTTTAAAATAATTGGATCTTGAATTTGTGAATTTATCAAATAACTGTTGAAACTTCTTCTAGATTCTTCTTCTTATCAAATAGGATAAAAAAAACACCAGTCTTTAAAAGATCATCATTATTTGGGACTATTCAATCATATTGATTGATATTGTTGAATGTAATTCTTTTGGATAAACAATTGAAGAAACTTTCTATCTATCTACCTATCTATCTATTTCTATGGATGCATATATGTTTATTGAATGTTATCATATGTAAACTCTGTGTTCAATTATTACGGATAATCCTATTCAAAATAATTAATAATTTATATAAAATGAAAATGAAATCAGGTATGTAATCTATTCATAGTTTTAATTAAAGTATTAATATATTTTTTTAAATGGTTTAGATCATCATGGAAAACCTGGAAGCTTTGGATGGTTGTTTCATCCTATTGTGTGACTTCTTAGCACTGGGTATCTACTATCCTGCCTTGAGAGATTCAAACCCAGAGATCGTTATTGCACACTGCTGAGAAGTCCCATAATAGAATGAAAGAGCCGTCTACTATTTCCAGATTTTCCATCATGGTCTAGATTTAATTGATTCATAATTTCAAACATTGAAATTACTATCATATTCACAAAAACTCTTCTTATATAAAGTATTCCTATTTTCATCATACACACACACACATTATCAAATATTAGTTAATATTAATTCATTTTATCATGTTCAGTTTAGTGGTTTTTAATAAATATAGTTATTTCATACATATAGTTCCCTTGATTATCTTAAAGAGAGCAATAACGTAGATTGGTGCACCAGTCTTCGATATGATATGCTGTCATATAGCTATGTGCATATAAGTACTGCTAGGGAAGTCCTACTCACGGGATTCTCACGCTACGAATGTTGTTTACGAAATTGATAGGACAGAAAGCGAATATTCGAAGCGTTAACCGAGTTTATAGTTATGCAGGATCCAATTAGGGGGTGGGAAAACCACTAATGCACATGGACTCCAGGATCCTAAAGAAACAAAAGACATATGAACCTATTATTAGTTACTGGTTATCTTGAGACTGAATCTTCTAACGTTGTTCTACTCTCTTGTGGATCAGACCTTTAGGTCAAAGACTCGGGGTGTGACTCACTAAAAAATCCACATGCTTTGATTCTGGCACCCAGAAAGTATTTCAGCTTTCATACAAATCACTCGATTTATGTGGTGTATATCCATTCTGCTAAATGTACCTGATCCTACGTTCTAGCTAATAAACAGTTAGCTTGTACAAATAATGTATTCAGGCTTTTTTTCCAGTCTACCGTCACTTTATTAACTAATAATTCTACAGTTTTAAGTTTCATATTGGCTAGTAATTATCATCATCATCACTGCGGGCTTGTAAGTTTCACAAATTGAATCTCACAGATTCATCTTAATAATAAGTCCTAATTAATAAAAAAAATCTAATTTCAGAATGACTTGCTGACTGCCTCGAATCAACTAATATATAAGTATACTCCACACAATGTCAAAATCATCAGTGATCATACTGTAGTTTGGTTGACAGAATTCAATCACTCAGTAGTACACTACTTATTACCAAGATATCACTATAGTTCACATTAGGAAACCTGATAACAGTATAGAAAAGCATTGATTGATATGCTTATAGAGAAATATTATCGAAGCAAACAACAAAGAAAGGGAAGTAAGTAAGAAAGAAAAAACTGAAAATACATATCGGAGTATCTTTCAGTCAGTCAGTCAGTCAGCTGCAACGTAGGACCAGGCATTAGTCCAAGTTGTCATACCGCATTAGCACAAGATGAACACCAGATTCATAGAAGTAGTCATTTCAAAGGTAGCAATATATATAGAAGAAAGATTGTGTATAAGGATATAATACAAGAAGAAAGAATTAGTTCGTAGAAAGAAAGAGATGAAGCGATTTGATCTCTTAGTTTAAAGGAAGACAGAGAGTGTAAACACCGACGCCATTGTGATCGGAGTATCTCTACGGAAAGTGTATATACAACTGTCAATTTCTTTTTTTTTTAAATTGATCTTACTTACAGAATTATCAGCTTCGATATCCCTTTAAATTACTTGTATATCAGTTATAAGTAGCAAACAAATCTCAACCAAGAGAGAAGAATTAAACAATAAGAAATAGCTTCAATTGACTCATGATCCCAACTATTGAAACAATTACGTGGATTAGTTGAAGTTAGACATTAATATCGTTGGATGCCGACCAACTCAGTGGTCTAATAATTAAGTGCTCGCGTGCGTGAAACCAGTAGGTCCTGGGTTCGTATCCCGGGAGGCGATGTCGTGGGTGCGCACTGCTGGAGGAGTCCCATAACAGGAAGAGTTGGCCATCCAGTGCTTCCAGGTTTTTGATGGTAGTCTAGATTCAATTGACTCATCATCTCAACGACAGAAATAGAATTTTCAGGAAACGTATTGATAATCAACAGTCATTGATTGTAATCATTTAGTACATAATTTTCGGTTATTATAATTCCTTGTAATGTAAATCGTTAATTTGTAATTGTTCTACCAAATTCAATAATTATTATCTCAAGAAGTGTTACATAATCAGTTTGTTATGTTGTTTAGTAGTCATCATTATGTGTCATTGAATATCGGCACATACTACAGATGTGTTTCATCCTCATTCTAATCTACTAGAAAATGTGTCTCGACGGTTGTACTGTGGGTAAAACTTAAGACTGGTGGTTTACACTACCAAATTTAATAGTTGAATTCATGAGTCTATTAAAGTTAGACCACCATGAAAACCCTAGAAATAATAGTTGATCGTTTCGTCTTAGCATGGGACTCCTCAGCAGTAAGCACCTACAATCTCGCATGTAAGATTCGAACCCATGACCTCCGATTTTAAGCGTATACCTCTAAACCATTAACTCATCATCCAATGATGTTAATGTTTAACTTCAACCAATCCGAATTTAATAATTTATGATAGTTTTTTTCAAACTTAGGGATTGTATATTTAATTAAATAACTAAATGCCATTCGGTATACTATTCCTTAAAATAATAAATTATTGATTATTACTGAATTAAAATATCCCATTTGATAACAATTATATAATTGTTGAATGAATTATTAAAAACTGTCTAACACCCCCCCTCCAACTCTATATTGAAATGATCTATCATACATTCAGTTAATTACTTTTTGACTGTGAAATAACATGACATTATATATTGTTATTGTGAGATTCTCCTTGTTGATAATTGATCAGTTGTTAGGCCCCCAGATGCCCTGGTACGGTCGAGAGTGGGAACAGTCCGCTCTACCTCTCCAAATGCTCTCACATGAACACGCGTATATAGCCTCTACCAGGGAAGTCCTACTCACTGACTTCTCGTGGCGGGGGTGTTGTTTACGAAGTTGACAGGACGAAAAGTGAATGTCTGACGCTTTGACCGGGTTGGCGGACATGGTGAGTCCACCTAGGGAAGTTGGAAAACTCTGATTCGAAACCAATGGTGTACATGGGCTAGCTCCAGTATCCTGAAGGAACAAATGGCGTATGAAACAATCGTTGGTCACAGGCTACCATGGGACTGGACTGCATCTCCTTACGATGTTCCACTGTCTTGTGGATTAGACCTTTAGGTCAAAGGCTCGGGGTGTGGTCCCTTAAAAAAACCACCTGTTTCGGTTTGGGCATCCGAGCAGTATCACAGCCCTCATACAAATCAAATGAGATTTGTGTGGCGCATTACTATTTGGTGCCTCCTTGTACCAATATCTATGTGTTCAAGTAAATAATAATGTATATACCAATAGATTGATGAATATGACGATTCACTCAACTGTTTCCGTTACTTATTTTCTTATTAAGTATATGCAATCAAGGGATAATTTGAAAAAGTCACTCCCCTCCTTACTATAAATGTCAAACACTGAACAATCCAAATTTGAATTGTATTTCCTTCCTTAAAGATACTGACAATGAATAAACATTGATAAAATATGTTTTCAATAGAAGATTTGTAGCTTAGATGAATGATTTAGTTGTGGAACATTCATCGTTCTTCTTTTGAACAATATCTACCTGAAATTTATACTGATGAGGTCACTCAGAAGAGTGATGAAAGCTCCATTCAGATCAGTATACAACACTCCATCAAAAAGTTTAGCATAAATTCTAATAATCTAACTAATATTAATAAGAGGCTGCAATTATGCATTAAGTTGATTTCAACCTGACAAAGATCATTATGAACATTGGAAATACTTCAAGAGATTTGATTTGTTAATTAGATGATGATGATGATGAGACTGTAACCTATGGACGACCTTTTAGCGACGTCAAATTGACCATGGAAGTGTTTACCTACTGATTAAGGCTAAATGAGGGTTATAAAACAGTTTGAAGAATAAAGATTATGATGCTTAAGGTTTTTTTTTTTAAATTACGAACTGACATCAGCTAAAATGCCAAAATGCTATTTGACCAAAATGGGTAAGTGAACTGCATACCAAAACCTAAAACCTGTTATCTTAAATCTGATTGTTTCACCTGTATAAGTTATAGTCTTGCTGAATAGATTCCAAAACTGATTAACTCCGATAACCCTTTAATAAAACTTTCAAAGCATCCATAAGTGTTTATGACCAAAATGTTCAATCTATATTCATTTGAATATTCAATGATATTGAACAGTTATTTTTTTCTTTGAAGATATTCATGAACACAGGTTATGTGTTGAATAAACATTAATGGAAATGATCTTTCTTGGAAGAAAAAAAATTCCTTTTTTTTGTTTTTCAACATCTGATAAAACTTCATTGAACAATATAAGATTAAGTTTCAACAGTATCCAGAAGTTCTTATTAACTATTCATGAATATAATTGATTTGAAATGATTTATGATTTATGTGATCTAATCCAAAGACGGATGAATAGCTGAAGAAACCATACCAAAAAAAAAAACAGAAAGCTTAGTAGACGAAGTATTCGACCTAAAGATCTAATCCACAAGACAGTGGAACATCGTAAGGAGATGCAGTCCAGTCCCATGGTAGCCTGTTGTTTGTTTCATACGCCATTTGTTCCTTCAGGATACTGGAGCTAGCCCATGTACACCATTGGTTTCGAATCAGAGTTTTCCAACTTCCCTAGGTGGACTCACCATGTCCGCCAACCCGGTCAAAGCGTCAGACATTCACTTTTCGTCCTGTCAACTTCGTAAACAACACCCCCGCCACGAGAAGTCAGTGAGTACGACTTCCCTGGTAGAGGCTATATATGCGTGGCCATGTGAGAGCATTTCGAGAGGTTGAGCGGACTCTTCCCACTCTCGACCGTACCAGGGCGTTTGGGGGCAAGATCGCGATTGACCAGTTCATTTTTTCATTTGTACTTCGTGAATCAAATTTCTACGATATATTTTTTAATCACAAGTTCCATTATATTTAGGATGTCGCTACCAGTGAAATCTAGTTCCAGTTTGAACATCAATATTAGGCTACAGATAAAACGGTTAACGAATCCCTATGAGGATGAAATGCGTATCTTTACACCTGTTGCCAACAAATCAAATAGAATAGTCAATATCTAAGTAGACTAACTAGTTGTGTGTGGTTGATAGTAATGTACACTCATTTACGTCTTTCGTTATTATTATTATTATTATTATTACTTTATGTTACTTTATTGTATTATAGGACTAAACACTTTGAATATGGATAATTCATCTATAGATAGCAGTGAAGATAATTGTAGACAAAAACTTAAAAGAGGTAAGTCACTACTGATTATGAATTAAGTAGTTTTGACTACATTATATATATATTTTTTGTATTGAATAGGGCAAGTATTGTGATATATATATTTATAACATAATGAAAGGAATATAATTCCTGGGTTTATATTACTTATAGTGTAATAAATTGCAATGGTGTGCGCAGGTGCATCCACTCTTTGTGGTCTCCCAAATTCAAATCTCCTGAATATATATATAAAGATTGCATATAAGGACATAGTATAGGAAGAAAGAATTAGTTGGTAGAAAGAAAGATATGAAGTGATTTTAACCTCTTAGTTTAAGGGAAGACAGATAGTGTACACATCTACGTCATTGTGATCGATTCTAAGCCATGTCATACAGTCTCCAACCATTGGTTACGATATTCACGCAGACCCCAACTAGGCAGTCTGCATCTACCAACATGGCTCAAACTAGAAGTTATTGACTTCAACCACTGATGATACGTTTTAGTTTGTCCACCGCTGACTTTCTTCCAATCGTCTTCAGTACTAGTCAGCATTGCGTGTCGTGGTAATCTGTGTTCAGACATACACAACACGTAACCCAACGATCTCAGTCGATGAAGATTTACAACCTCATCAACTGATTTACCATCATACCCTAATACTCTGCGTCTAACCTCATTATTACTTACCCTATGATTCCAGCAGATGCGAGCAATATTTCTAAGGCATTTGGGGTCAAATACTAGTAGCTTGTGAGTATCTTCTACTCTTAATGGCCACGTTTCGCAGCCGTAAATTAGAACAGAACGAACTGCCGCACAGTATACTCATCCTTTTATTGATAGACGGATATCTCGCCTTCGCCATAGGTGACGTAAGTTGGCAAAAGCTAAATGAGCTGTTTTAATCATTACAGAGGATTCGTCAAACACCAACCCATTAGGGCTGATCAGACTTCGAAGATGTACCACAATAGAACTGCATTAATAATTAATAATCTTTTACATAAGTAAATAACCCGGATTTAGCTAATCGTACAGAGAAAAATAATTTATAAATCATTTTCTATTCAATTAAAAAGAATATTTTTGATTAAAATGACATTTAATATGTGATAGTTGGTAGGAATAAAAGAGAGAGTGACAGGTCCTGAGTTCAAATCTTGAGAGGTGGGATCGCGGATGTGCACTACTGAGGAATCCCACAGTAGAACGAAACGACTATCCAGTGGTTCCAGGTTTTCCAGGGTAATCTAGTTTTAATTGACTCATGAATTCAATTATTAAATTATTACAATCTCCACAAAAAACCCCCTTTTTCTAAACATAAAATTGATGTAGCCTTTATCGATTCATTTCTATTTGAATAACCACAATCATGTTCTTTTGATCTAATAGAATATTTAAATAATGAGATGAGATTTTAATAGTTAGTTATCATGGATTAACTGATAGAATTATATCTTTTATTAATTTATATAATACTCAATCCGTTAGCCCAGTGATAACGTCTCTGACTGTGAATCTGGGTTATACGAGATCGAATTCGTCAAGAAGCACCAGTTCCCTCGAGATTACAAGAACATCTTGACCTCGAGGTCACGATTTCCTGTTGACGATCTTCAACCATCATCTGAAATTTATGATACTGTCATTAAAATGAATCTGAAGAATTCTTCTTTTGTTTAATGGTTAGTTAAAACACTGATAAAGTAGTAATAGATTTAAGAATAACTTTTACTGGGGCCCGTTTGGTTTGACGTCGGCAGCGGGCTTACCACTTCTTGTGGGGCCATTTATTTTATCGTCATTTAGATAGGACGATGTTGTCGAAGGGCTCTCCACTTTATTGACCCATGATCTGACTCCAAATAGATCGTATAAATGATCGTTGTGGAAATATATATGTCGCCTTATCCTCGTATATAATCCAGTGACTTAAATCGCGTTAGTTAATAACGGAATTAAATAAGTCAAATAACGAGAATGGATTATTGAATACATATATTTTGTATTCGAAACGAACGAAACAGAAAGAAGAGAAACAACGCTCAGTCGAGATGGAGGGTAAGTTAACTGCCCATTTGACCAAGCGTTAATCAATATTTATAAGCACATAAAAGTAAGTTACAGACATGTGATGAGTAATGGAATAAGAAGTGTACACACACCTATGCGTGAATAAATAACAAGGTTAGAATGTGACTGTCTACGCAAGATACTCAACATCCATTGGCCGGATACCATCAGCAACAGCCTTTTTTGGGAGAGAACAAACCAGCTTCCAACTGAAGAGGAAATTAGGAAAAGACGATGGAAATGGATAGGACATACATTGAGGAAATTATCAAACTGCATTACGAGGCAAGCGCTAACTTAGAATCCTAAAGGGAAGCAGAATAGAGCATGGCCAAAGAACACATTACGTCGGTAAATAGAATCAGATATGAAAAGGTTGAATAAGAACTGGAAAGAGCTTGAAAGGATTGCCCAGGACAGGGTTGGATGGAGAATGCTGGTAAGCGGCCTATTCTCCTTCACGAGGAGTAACAGGCGAAAGTAAGTAAGTAAGTAAGTAAGTTACAATGTGACTCAAATTGAATGATGAATAGATTGAGCTGTCCGAATGCTAGAATAAGGTATATAGGGGGGGGTGGATTAACATAATAAAACAAACACTATAAACTATTTATTTTCATACTATTCATATTCTAATTATTAATATTATTATTATTATTTCTATATTGAATTTATTTTAATAAAGGACATTCAGGTGTAAATCAATTAGGTGGAATGTTTGTAAATGGTAGACCATTACCAGATATAACACGTCAACGTATTATTGAATTAGCCCATTCTGGTGCACGTCCATGTGATATATCACGTATATTACAAGTATCTAATGGTTGTGTATCAAAAATATTATGTCGTTATTATGAAACTGGTTCAATTAGACCAAAAGCAATTGGTGGTAGTAAACCAAGAGTAGCAACAAATTTAGTTGTATTAAAAATAGCAAATTATAAAAAAGAATGTCCATCTATATTTGCATGGGAAATACGTGATCGTTTATTACAAGAAGGTATATGTACAACAGAAAATATTCCAAGTGTAAGTGAATTATTTTATTCATTTATGATAACTTTCATATCAGTTTAAGATGTAATAAGTTGACTATCATTGAATCTATTCAGTATTATTGAATGATGTGAATATATATTGATGAAGATTCATAAATTAGGTCGAAACAATAAATTGATAACTTTCTTATGAGAAACTTTATTCAAATCATACAAATCTATATATTTTCAATATGGATATATTGTTTAATTTCATTGAATGATAACTGACTCAATGGTCTAGTGGTGAAGTGCTCATGTGTAAGACTGGATTTGAATCTCACAAAGTGGGTTCGTGGATATGTACTTTTGAAGAGTCCTACAATAAAACAAAATGGCTATCTAGTGGTTCCAGGTTTTCAATGGTGGTTATAATTTCAACTATTGAAATGAATTAAACATTTACAAAAACCCTTCTGATATGCATTTCAAATTGTCTATGTTCAAGTAGATAGAAAAAAACACACACACACACATGTACACACACACACATGTATGTAATGGTATCTACGAGAAATGAACTCATTAAAACAAGATTATATTTTAATGATTAGAAGTAAAATTTGGTACTTCTGTACATTAACTAGGCAGAGATTCCAAGACAATTAACCTGGATCTTTATACTTAATTAATAGATGGAATAGTCTATATGCAAACATTTAAAATTACTTGATTATTGTATATTATAATGTGTTTTTTTAATGAAGTTTTTCTCTCTAAACTGGATGATTTGATCGTAGAACATTTATCGTTGTTCTTCTAAACGACACTTCACTTCTACTTGAAGTTTATACTGATGATGTCATTCAGAAGAACTACGATAGCTCCACGAATAAATCATTTAGCTTAGAGAATAAAACTCCATCAAAATCATACACTTGAAATAGAAATCTTCTCCATCATCTCAACATTATTATGTGGGCAAAAATTTATCATTATATACTCAAGATACTGAACTGTTGTATCATTTTGCTTAAGAGATTATTCTAGTCAATAATTCTAATGTAAGCAAAAATGGATAGTGGCTAGTAGTGGAATCTAGAACATGTATTTCTTCCTACTTGAGACTCGTCAGCAGCACGTACCTGTATCTAAGAGGTGATGTTCACATCTGGACTCGAACCCAGTACCGTTCGATTCAAACACTATCGTGTTATCGATTTAGCTACTGAGTCCTAATAGCCACTTGCTTGTGCAATAAGGTGAAGTTTAAATTCACTCGGTATTATTTACTTGAATCGTCCCATTGTTATTTAGGTTTACAGTTGATCAGTCTCTTATCGGGATATGTGTATACTGTGACAAAGAAATCATCAACTTAGGATCATTAACAACATATATCAGAATCATTTTTGATGACTCTATTCAGACTGAACTACTGAAATCCATTTATATTGACATCTTGATTAAAAAAAGTGACTCTGAACTTATTTGATGTTTTTCTACTGAACATGTAACATACAAAATTGTTAAGAAAATATTAGTTTGATTAATATTGTCATAGTGACAACAATTTTAAGTATCAAGTCTTGTTAACACATATCTATAAAAAAATCAATCAAACGTTTTCTCACGAGACCGACAACTCTGGGTTCGAATTCTGCTACCTAAGTCGTGGATGCTTACTATTGATAAGTTCTACAAGAGGATGAAACAACCATCTAGTGCTTCTAGGTTTTTTAATGGTGGTCTAACATCAATCAGTTTATGATCTTAATCAAAAACTTAGTAATCTTCACAACCTCATACTAACAATAATTCTATATTGAAAGTACTAAAGTGATTTGTCTTTGTCCCTTTACTAATGATGATGATGATGATGATGATGATCCACTCTTGATCAATAGTTAAATTACTCGAATTCCAATCACTAGGTGTTAGACTCAAAATTCAATCTAACTACCTTTGTTTAAATTACAGGGAAGTTGTCTTATTAATCCTTACAAATAGTATGTAACTCAAAGCCAAATACATTAATCCATACTTGATTACTTACTTACTTATTTACGCCTGTTACTCCAAATGGAGCATAGGCCACTGACCAGCATTCTCCAACCCACTCTATCTTGGGTCTTCTTTTCTAGTTCTATCCAATTCTTGTTCATTTTTCTCATGTCTATCTCCATTTCCCGACGTAGTGTGTTCTTTGGTCTTCTACTTCTCTTTCTTCGCCTTGAGGATTCCATGCGAAGAATTGTCTTGTGACACAGTTGTATGCTTTCGTCAATGTGCGTCCTATCCCTTTCAAGCGCTGATTTCTGATTTCTTCCTCCACATACTTGATAAATGAGTTAAATTTCATTATGATATTCATATAGTGTTAGTTTACAGGTAACAGTTATTTAGATCAATGTGTTTTTTTTTAATCAAATTCTCACTTAACAATAGTCAATCATCTTTGATGACTTACTTACTTACGCCTGTTACTCCTCGTGAAGGAGCATAGGTCGCTCAACAGCATTCTCCATCCAACCCTGTCCTGGGCAATCCTTTCCAGCTCTTTCCAGTTCTTATTCATCCTTTTCATATCCGCTTCTATTTACCGACGTAATGTGTTCTTTCATGAAGTCTAATTAAAAAAAAACGACTCTATGTACACATTTAAGGTTTGTCTTGAAGATTATGTAAAAGCGAGTAATAAATTTAAAAATTATTCACAAGTTGATGAACATGGTAAAGTCAATCAGCAACAACGTAGAATCAGGGCGCATATATGCATCTGTTCAAGTTGCTACACCTCATTAGTACAACAAGATGAATTCATAGACGTAGTTACCTCAATTGGTTATAATATATATAAAAGAAGAAAGAATTAGTTCATAGAAAATAAAGGGAAGACAAATAATGTATACATGTACGTCATTGTGATTGATTCTCAGTCATGTCACTCAGAGTCTCCAACCATTGGTGATAATAGTTATGCAAACCCTAACCAAGTAGTCTGCATCTACCAACATAGTTCAATTCATAAGTTAGTGATTTGAAGGACTGATGTCACATTTTTGATTTAACCTCCCTAATAACATGGAAAAAGTACCATATAATATGTGACAAAGTTTTATATATGTATCTATAAACATGTACATTTATATCAATGAAAGTATTAGTCAAATATGAATATTTTCATAGCTAAAATCAATATTATGTTTATACTACTGATAGAAATCAGTCAACCAAAAACGAATACAAGAGATAAAAGTGTAGTTATCCATAAGGCACTAATGATAATAATAATAATAATAATAATAATAATAATAATAATAATAATAATAATAATAATGGTAATAATAATAATAATATAAATAATCAAAATAACAATAGTTTAGCAAACAAACGAATAATACTGCCATACTGGGAATTTCAACAATCACCTCCGGAAATCAGATTTCGAATAGAAAGTCTTTTTTTTTTAAATTTCTTCAAAAATAACGCCACATAGAAAAGGATAAACACTTGAAGAGATTGACAATATATAGGTGTGTAATTGTGTGGGTGTGTATGTATGTGTGTGGATGTGGGTGTGGGGGGTACTTGTATTCGTGTTAAATTATGTTTTTCTATTTTATATAAACTTGAAAAGACTATAAAAGACTAGGACATTTTATTATTTGTTAATCAACACAGGAAATAAGGGGAAATTACATAGTTTTTTTTTGCTATAATTACTGGAGAATAATTTAAGCAGAAAATATTTTTTGAAAGAAAAGTATACCACCATCAACACCACCACCACCACCATAACAACAACAAAGACATCATCACTAACACCACCATAACAACAACAATAATAATAATAATAAAGACACCACCACCACCACTACTACCAACAACAACAATACCATAGATAATAATAAGACTAATGAGAACAATAATATCATCGACGTGGAAAATAGACAGCAAACAATTATAGATTTTTTTTGTGTGGAAAATCTTAAAAATAAAAGAAACTGGAGGTGTTTTTTCCCTCTCTCTATCTCTCTCTTATTTATCTATCCAAATGACTTATACATATAGTATAGTATGATGAAGTATAGTACTTTTATTTAAATTAAGTAATGAATAATGTTTTGATGAAAGTTACTTTTCATGTTTTCGGTTTATTAAATATTATAGTTCAAAAAGAAAAACAATATTAATTATATAAAAGAAATTGTTTTCCATTAACTAGTCATAATTTAAGTTAACAAGATTTGGTGGACTGGTTGAAGTTAGACATTAACATCGTTGAATGCCGGCTGGCTGACTCAGTAGTATAGAGGTTAAGCGTTCGTGCTCAAGACCGATAGATCCTGCATTCGAATGTCGCGTGGTGGGATCATAGGTACGTACTGTTGAGGAGTTCTATAATAGGACGAAACGGCCATTCAGTAGTTCCAGGTTTTCTATGATGATCTAAACTAAGTCGGTTCAAATTCAACTATTAATACAATCTCTACAAAACCGCTTTCTACTACTACTACTACTACTACTACTACTACTACTACTAATAATAATAATAATAATAATAATAATAATAATAATAATAATAATAATAATAATGGGACGACGGACCACGGATGAACTCGAGGAAGCTGTAAGAGACTCAGAAGAATCCGAAGATATTCCATCCAATCAGTTTTTGGAAGAATATTCTAGAATTCCTACGTGTAGCTTCCCGATAGGACGATGCTAATAACCCTACTGTATGCGGACTGGAGGACTATAATGATGATTTTGTTCTTACTAAAAACTATAAATACCTGACAATTTTGTAATATAATGGACACTGCTAGGAATAATATTCCTTTCATTAGTCTTCTGTCTTCTCATTGCGACTTGAAAGGGTTTTGGCGTTCTAGTGCTCAGTTATACGCGGTATATCAAGAAAACAACCTTCTAGATATAACAAATAATAATAATAATATTTATTAAAATATAAAATAATAACGAAAATTCTTGTTATCACATTTTGATGGAGTTTTGTTCTTTGAGATGGATGGTTTGATCTTGGAGCTTCCATAGTTATTCTGAATGACATCATCAGCGTAAACTTCAAGTAAAAGTAAACTGTTCGAATTTCTCCGTATATAGTTCACAGCTTGTCCTATGGATCTCGATGTTGATTGGTTCTTTTTGACCTTAAACTATAAAAGTTACATGATTGAACCATCTAGTTGAGAGAACAAAACTCCATCTTCTCCATTATCTGTTATCAGATTTAAACTATAATTTTTGAATTTGGAATGTATGTAGTTTAAGAAAGAAAACTAATAGAAATTAAACATGTTTATTAGTTGAATTCATGAATTGATTGATGTTAGATCACCATGAAAGATCTGGAATCACTAAACGGTCGTTTCATCGTAGTATGGTACTTCTTAGCAGTGCTCATTCAGTGCTTCCAGGTTTTCACTGGTGGTCTAACGTAGATCAACTTATGTATTCAGCTAATAAAATTGTCTCCTCCTCAACAACAACTCTATAGGCTTTTAATGGTTCCTTACCAATAAATTTATCCTTAAATCAAACAGATTATTGTAGACCATCTAGTCAATTAACCTAATGAGATTCTATTTCACTGGGACGTTATGGAGCACTAAAAGTTGGTGATAACGTGGAAAAGGAGTTTCGGACTTTATCTTGTTTTTGTTTTTTTTTTTTAATGAAAAAACTAACCAAATTCAATACTGACCATATTCTATTTGCTATCAAGTATTGAATATATTCATTTCATTCAATAGTTCTCCATCTTAGCGTAAAGTATCGAGTATCGGATAAATGTTACCAGGATTTGTAATTGTTATCATCTCTTTAAGATCTTTAAATATTCAATTCATATCATGAATGGATAGATGAAAATCTCGAAGTACTGAACGACCGTTTCGTCCTAGAGCGGGATTCCTCAACAGTACACATCCCATGTAACTTTTAATCAATCCGTATATCTAAAAGAAACCCCATTAAATAATTATTACAAATCTTTTTTTTGTAGTTGGTAAATATAGAGTTGACAAACATTTGGTTCAAACAAATGAAGCATATAATTCTCACTGTTTATGAACATATGGTTATCCCTATATTGGTGTACATGCGAAATATTTATATATATTATATATATATTTATAATCCAAATATTGCGTGCAACTAAGAGATTTACGTTCCCCTCATTTTTTTGAAAAAAAAAGAATCTCTCCCCCTTTACATATGTGCGTGTGTATGTGTGAGTAGGTGGGTGGGTGCATGTTTCTACGCGTAGACATTGGTAATAAAATTAAAGTATAAGAGAAAAGTATAGTAAAGAGTAGTAAAACAGAAATGATTGGAACCTAAAAAAGAATCATTGTAGACAGACAAATTGAATTCAGTTCAAGTTATTCTTGTCTATTTTACTCTTTTATTTAATTAAAGAATATAGATTTCCCATTTTAAAGTTTAATCTTGCTCATCTTGCTTTTCTTTCTTTTTTTCTTTCTTTCTTTCTTTCTTTCTTTCTTTCTTTTTTCTTTTCTCGTCAAATACTTGAAGTTAAGAAAATTTATGCCTGAATAGTAATTCAAGTAGTATCTTCTATAAAACAGACGTGAAAAGTTTTGTCATAAAATTTTTTTTTATTTCTTCGGTACATCTTAATATTTTGATAATAATGAGATGATGATGATGATGATGATGATGACCCAATGAATTTGACTAATTACACTTAAAGTTACCCAGCTAGACTATATGTACATATATATATGGTACCTACATACTATGAGACCATTAAAACAATAGAGAATCTTTAAACTGAAGTTTTGTCTTGACCAATAATAGTAATAATAATATTAAAACAAGAGAATCAAATTATAGAGATTTCCAGTAGAATAAATTTGTGAATGTTGTGTATAGAACAAAGTGGAGTGAAGAATAGAAGTAATCAATAATTTGATCAATAGTTTTGACTCATGAAATCCAATTATATTGAATGTGTAACAGTTATCCACCTCAGGCAATAGATAAGGATTACGCTAAATAATTAAATGATTCAAGTTAGACATAAACACCGTTTGGATATAGATTCAGTGATATAGAGATTAAACGTTCAAGCTCAAGACTAAAAGTCTATGGTTTGACTCTTGGAAGTGTTGTTATGAATGTCCAGTGCTAAAGAGTCCCCCTATTAGAACAAAACAGTCATCTAGTGCTTCTCTGTTTTCAATGATGATGTATATATATATATATATATATATATATATATATATATATATATATATATATATCCGAGCCTTTGACTTAAAGGTCTTATCCACAAGGTAGTGGAGCAATGTCAGTAGATACAGTCTCATGGTAAATGGTGACCAATGATTGGTTCCTACGTCATTTGTTTCCTTAGGATCCTGGAGCCCATCTGAACCATTAATTTGGAATCAGAATTTCACAACTCCTCTAATTGAACCAATCGTGTCCATCAATCCTGTTAAAACACCCGACATTCGCTTTTCATCTTTCCAATTTTGTAAACACCTCCGCCACGAGGAGGCAATGATTAGGAATCCCCTGTCAGTGACCGTATACTCGTGGCCATCTGAAAGCATTTAAAGAGGAAGAAAGCACTCTATTTACCCTTGGTCGTACCAGGGCATTTGGAGGCTAGTCCAAATTGCCACACCTCATCAGTACAACAAGATGAACACAAAATTCATGGAAGTATTTACTTCAATAGTAGTAATATATAAAAGGAAGATTGTATATAAGGACATAATACAGTGAAGGTATAATCTCACGATTTAAGAGAAGACAAAGAGTGTATACACCTACGCTATTATGATCGATTTTGAGTCATGTCACTCAGAGTCTCCAACCACTACTGGTTATGATAGTCGCGCGGACCCTTTTAGTATATGTGAATTTTAAGTCATTTTAAATGAATCAAATTTTATAAACAGAAAAATGTAAGTTTAACCCTTTCATGAAAAAGTTTTGTTCAAATCAATTATTCATGTTTTTGATTGAGATCATGAATTGATTGATGTTAAACCACCATTAAAAAACCTGGAAGCATTGGATAGCCGTTTCGTCCCATTGTAGGACTCCTCAGTAGTGCACATCCACGATCCTGCTTGCAGGATTCGAACCTAGGGCATTCCGTTTCGCGCGCGAACTTTTAATCTCTAGACCATTGAGTTAGCATCCACATTTTATATGAATATTGAAATGTTACATACAAAAATGAATAACCTTTTTACTCAAATACCAGTTTTTGTACAACAAGAAATGACTTTTATTTTAAGTATCTAATAGAGATGTCTTCACAGAAGAAGAAAAAGAAGAAGAAGAGCAAATTAAACAAACAAACAAACAAACAAACAAAACAGTAACAATAGTAATGATGAGTTAATTGATTAATTTTTTTAATCTATCATTCATATTTTTACTCGTCATATCATTTAACTCATTGAATAGCCTCCACCACATTAATTCAATGTTCAATTTGATCTTCTATTGTTTGTTTGTTTGTTTGAAATTAATTCCTGATTTATGACATTTAGATCATCAAATTTGATCTTTCTCTCTCTCTCCCTCTCTGTCTCTTTCTCCCTGTGTATGTCTTCTTCGTCTTCTTCTTCTACTTCTTCCATTCTTCTTATCCTTCAAACATAGAATCATTCAAGCGTTCAATGTTATTATTTACTAACAATAGTTCTAGGTTTAGAATAGTTTCAAATTAAATAAAGGTAAAATTAAAGATCTATGTTCTTTTTAGATGAAAATCTAAATGTATCATTATTTAAGAAGATATTAGATTTCTTATTTCAAGTGTTGTATTTTACTTACCCCACCTAACCCCCCTCACCCACTCATTGAAAAAGTTGAGATGATTAAGATATGCACGTTGATAAAACTAAAATATAAACAACAACAAGAATAACAATATCGAAATGTATTCATCAGTTGAATATCCAGTCAGTCAGTCAGCTACAATGTAGGATCAGGTATATATATATGTATCGGTACAAGTTACCATACCTCATCAGTACAACAAGATGAACACCGAATTCAATCGTAGAAATATATAAAAGAAAGATTGTGTAAAAGGATATAATATAGGAAGAAAGAATTAGTTCATAGAAAGAAAGATATGGGGCGATTTGAATCTAGTTGAAGTTCAAAAAGTTATAGGTAATCTGAAACGAGGAAAAACAGCTTGTCCAGATAGATTAGTTCCAGAGGTCTTTAAGGATGGTGGTCTAATTTTCAAGATTAGGTGGACTAATATTTTAGCTAAAATCTGGGAGTTGGACATAATTTCATCTGATTGGTCGCAATCACTGATTGTCCCAATATGTATATGAAAGGGTCAAAATCATCCTGTCATAACCATAGAGGGATTAGTTTGACTAACATAGCATCTAAAATACTAGCCTAACATAGAATCATGAACTAAAAGCACGAGAGAATGAGGCTGGATTCAGACTTGGTCGTGGCTGCATTAACCATATATTTACCATTCTTCAGATTTTAGAAGTCGATTGACACTTGTCCGTTATCCATATCGTGAAAGGATACTTCTTCTTAAGGTACCTGGAAAGGAAATTGGATTAGGAATGACCTTCACTGTCTAAAAGTGACTGAAAAACCCGAATGACTGTGCCTTGAAAACATGTTACTTCTATTATTTAAAGCCCCTACCTATTTAGAGGAAAACCCTTCACAAAAAAACAAAACAAGACGTACTGTCATTACATCCAACTATTCCTAACCCATTCGTTCTATTGTGAGAAGACAGTATCTCTGAAGACCTTGGTAATCTGAGAAAAATACCTTATTGTTGTTGTACGAATTGTTTATTCTCATTCACTACAATAGCATTGTACAATTGTCCAACATTCATTTACCTTGAATAGTATTTTAGCTGACATTATATATATTTACTAATTTTGAACAATAACCAATTGCAGTTAGTATATGTATATGTCAAGTATTTATTTGTGTATATTTCCTCTCTGTTCACCATTTCAACATTCAAGGTATCATCCATCAATCGTGTATTAAGAAATGTATGTAACGATAATCAACTACCTCTTTCATTAGAATCAAATCTATCACAAAATCAACATAGTAACAATAATAATAATAATAATAATAATAATTCTCTTATGAATATACAAACAATACAATCAAATGAACACCTATTACATCATACTCCTATACAAAATAATCAATTTAATTCATCATTGAATCGTATGCCAATAGTTGATTTTCAATCATCACATCTTAATTGTTTTATGAATCATTCTAGTTTAAATAAACAAAATTATCCATTACAATTAACTGTAAATCAGTTATCACGAGGATTAAATATGTCACCACGATCACCACGAACTTCATCGCCTCGATTTAATCATCCACAAACAGCAGCATTTGCTGCTGCAGCTGCTGTAGTAGCTGTTCAACAAAATTATCCACAAAATTCAACGATCTATGATTCAATTACATATCAAAATCGTTTATTTGAAATGAATGGTAATAATACTGTCATTACAACAACAACAACGACGACGATGACGACTACTACTACTATTACTAGTACTACCACTACTACTACTATTACAGGTAGTAATAGTATTGAACGAAGTAATAGTGATGTATCTCCAACATTTCAATCATCAACGAATATGTACGATACATTTTCTAATTTTCTACATCATACTAATTGGCCATCATGGTATAATACATCATCATTATCATTATCAGAATCTACTGGCAATCCTATGTCATCTGTTTCTATGGATACAAATATGAATACAAGAAATTATAGCAATAATGATAATAATAGTAATACTACTACTAGTAGTACTACTAATAGTAGTAATAATTGTTTAGCAGAAACAAATCCAATCAGCGAACAATTAAATTATTGTAATTTACCAAATTTTAATATATCTAATAGTATAGATTGTGTTCCATTTCATCCATCTCATATAAATTTCAATAAACCTAATAGTAAGAATAATAATGAAGGGGAACATATCTCGAATGGTTCTCATCATAGCTCCTCATCAATGAATCTTCATAATATGAATATATGTGAATTGAATAAACCTGATCATTTATTACATCATATTAAGCAACACCAACACCAACAACAGCCACAACAACAACAACAACAATCCCTTATGAAGAATAATTATGATGGTGATGATGAGGGTGGTGGTGATGATGATGATGATGACGATGATGATGGTGACGATGATGGTGATGGTGATGGTGATGGTGGGGATAATAAACATAATGAATTTAATTTACATATAAGAAATTCATCAAAATTATATGAAAGTTTAAATTCTGAAATTGAATTCACTTCCAAATCAAATGAACAATGTCAATTGTATGAGAAATCATCTATGGAATTAATGGAATTCCTTCAAGATAATCATAATCATAATCATAATAATCATAATCATAATTTAAATCATCTTCAAATGGAATTAAAAAAGAAAGAATTAACAAGATCAGGTAAAATTGAACAGTAATACTATATCAGTAGTATTGTTTGTTTAAATGTTAATACTACCGCTTCAACGACTAGTTTCAAACATAGTGTAAGCGATATTGAGTGACTTAGACTATCAGAGACATTATCAATTAAATAATAGATGTTAATCATTTATCACGATGGAAATAAACATAATTGATATTAGTAACTACTTAGTGGTCCTATAGATGATCGATCAAGCTATCAGTTTAGGGGTTGTGGAGTTTGTTAAGTTATTGATTGAGATCATAAACTGATTGATGTTAGACCATCATTGAAAACCTAGAAGCACTGGATGGCCGTTTCATCCTATTGTGGGACTCCTTAGCAGTATGCATCAACGATCCCGCCCCCCCCCTCGCGAGATTCAAACCTAGGGCCTTCAGTCTCATGCGCAAACGCTTAACCTACTGGACCACTGAGCTGACCGGTATCCAATGGTGTTAATGTCTAACCTTCACCAATCTGAAATAGATCTACATGATAACAATACTTCTTTTTCGCATATGTGTGTTGTTCCAATTTGTATAATGATAATAATAACAATCTGTAAATATTAAATGATAAAGTGTAATGATTCGTTGATTAGAAGATCAGTACATAAAGTGGTACTTATATAATGAGTTAACAATGTTATTTAGCTCATAGATTCAACTAGATTTAAGGTTGTGTATGAAGGATTTTTAATAGTTTATAATTCGTATTGTCAAGGCAATTAGATATAAGGTAGAATGTCTTGGATTTTGATACGAAATTCATTGATCTATTTGGATAAATAGAGTTATGGCATTAAAGTTGATGTCTGTTCGTGATGACAACCCTAACTATCTACTAAATATGTTAATTCGAATTCCTCACACTGCTTTATAACCTTTATTTAGTCCTAGTCAAGTAGATGGACATTCTTAAAGTCACTTTAGCGTCGCTCGAATGTTGTCCATAAATTATAATCTTATCAACTATTCATTGCATCTTGGTTTGTAATAAGGGTCTTGTTATAATTAGATCATCATGTGTAGTATTTTTAAATATGATTTATATAAAGAGTTGATTTTTGAACTATTGTGAAACAGTTTATCAATGATGTATAGATGAATAATAATGTATATTATAAGACAGGAAATCAGTATAAAGTATTGAGTTAGTGATCGAATACAAATTATAATAAACATATATCTACAATTGATTGATCACTGGGTGGTGACCAATGTCATGCGTGTCTAGTCCTTATTCTTAGTGCAGATCGAATGCTATTGATCATGTCGCAATGTAACCACCAGTCTAAGTGACTCGACACCTCGGGCACTATTGTAAGATTAAATGGTGGTTGGAGGTAGTCGACAGGAAACCCTGGTAACGTCTCTGACTGTGAAGCTGGGTGACACGGGATTGAATCCGCCAGGGAGCACCAGTTCCCTCAAAGATTACAGGTACACTTTGTTGACGAGTGCCAAGTAGCACGAAACCCGGGTCCAGGGTTTCCTATTGACTATCTCCAATCACCATCTAAACATATATCTATTAATAGTTGTATTCATGAGTCAATTAAAGCTAGACCTGGAAGCACTGGATAGCTATTTCGTCCTAGTATGAAACTGTTTATCAGTGCTCATCCACGATTAGTTGAAGTTAGACATTAAAAGCGTTGGATGTTTGCCCAGAGGTCTAGAGGTTTCGAATCCTGAGTACAATGTTGCGGGTGCTTATTAGTGAGGAGTCTAATACTAGAGTGAAATGGCCATACAGTGCTTCCAGATTTTTCATAGTGGTCTAGCTTCGATATACTCATGAATTCAACTATAATATCCATAAAACCTCATTCTGAGAATATATCTATTAAACATATAGTTGTCATTAATAAGTACATTGTTAACTTATAATCATATAAATCAGTTTTGTCTTAAAGGTTCAATGAACATGTTTTCATAATAATTTTGGTATTTTAGACTCTACATATTTTGCCAAAGACGGTATATGGAACAGACTATACATTAAAATATCCGATCTATTCAATTGTTTGACTTCATAGAGACCATTATTACTGTTTATAAGTAGAATGATCTGAAAAATTATATCGGCTATTTACTTGCATGAAGATTATCCAATGTAATGACGTATAACTAAGACTGAAGATCAGATTCAATCAGATCGCTGGTAAATACCGAGAAACCTAATGGATTTTTTTGGATTCTATCTAATCATAGAATGCTTGCCGATTTTCTTTCAGAAGCCAACATAAATTTGAAATGTTTTGGATCCAGTATTTTTTTTTTTTTTTTGGTTGATGTTACTGGAAGGATAATGTCAACTAATTCGAAGCCTAAGAATTTTTCCAGCTGACGTTCTACCAGCATCTCCTACTTTTTTTCTGATTAGCGTGTTTTTTAGTGAGTTAGTTCTCTACAGGATGAAGTCGTTAAATCCATGCCCAACCTTCTTCCTTTATCCGGGCTTGGGACCGTCAGTAGCCTCAAAGGGTTATTAATTAACACTTCTATATATTAGTTAAATGACTATTGAAATTGTGTAAACTTTTTAAGATATTATTACTTTCAAATGCAGATCAACTATACTTACTTACTTACGACTGTTACCCCCCCCCAATGGAGCATAGGCCGCTGAACAGAATACTCTAAATCACTATATCCTTGGCCTTCCTTTCTAGTTCTATCCAATAGTTGTTCATTCTTCTCATGTGTGTCTTCATTTCTCGGCGTGATGGGTTCTTTGGTCTTCTTCTCCTCCTTTTGCATTGAGGATTCCGTGTGAGGACTTGCCTTGTGACTCAGTTGAGTGCTTTCCTTAATATGTGTCCTATCCACTTCCGGTGGTTCCTACTGATTTCTTCCTCTACTGGAATCTAGTTTGTTCTCTCCCATAGTAAGTTGTTGCTGATAGTGTCTGACCAATGGATCCAAAGTATTTTGCATAGAAAACTGTTAATTAACTATTGTAGATCAACCATAGAACTATTGTAAATCTCAGAAACCACATATCTTCATATTCTCAACTTTATATAAGTGAACCTTTAATAATTGCGATTATCTATACCATTAATTATCAATGTTGATTAGTCAATTCCAATATTATTGTTTATATTTCTTTATATTATACAGATCCATTCATTCAATCAACCATAGATCATCAACTAGATCAATCAAGATTAAATCTAGAAACATTCAAAGCGATTCATTCATCGAATCAAACTAGTTTACAACAAAACATTCAATGTACTAAACAACAACTAATCAATTCACATTACAATTCAATGGATATCACTACAACAACTACTGATAATACTCATAATAATAGTATTAGTAGTAGTAGTAGTGGTGGTAGTAATAGTAGTAGTAGTAGTATTAGTAATAGTAATACTACTATTACTACCATTACCACTAGTCCTATTAATAATATAATGAAAATATGTTCAACACCTATGGAAATCTTAATGAAAACTTATGGTAAAGATAATTTTACAAAATTATCATCGAAACAAAATTTATTACATCATTCTCATTCACAACAACCACAGCAACAACAACCACATCCACAACAAGAACAAGAACAACAACAACAACATACTACTAATCATTATTCAGAAATGAATCATACACTACTTAATTCTATATCATCATCAGTATCAATGATGAATTCAATTGATCATCATCATCATCATCCTCCTTCACTTAAATTAGATGAAAAATTAAATGAAAATAAAAAAATTGGAAGAAATAGAACAACATTTACACCGGAACAATTAGAAATACTTGAAGAAGGTAAATATTGAAATTATTTCAGTAGTCAATGAGATGATCTTCGAATATATATATTCATCTGACCACATTGTTACTGACTGATTAATATGGAGATTATTAAGTTATTGATTGAGATCATGAACTGATTAATGTTAGATCACGATAGAAAACCTGGGAGCACTGGATGGCTAGTTCGACCTATTGTAAGATTTCTCAGTAGGGCGCATCCATGATCCCGCTCGAGGGATTCGAACCGAGGGTCGTCAGTTTCGTGCATGAACTCTTAACCACCAGACCATTGAGCTGGCTGGCATACAACGGTGTTAATGTCTAATCTCAACCAATCCACGAAATTACGCAACCATCGTCCATTGTACTGAGGTAGATACTTGTCTCTACCCGACACGGATTAGCTTCACTGGTCACGGCTTCTCACTAGAACTCCGAGAATTTTCTCACAAAGCTAGTCACTAGTGAGTATATTTATATTTAGGGTCATCCCTCGTCGAGTAGCATAGGCCACCTACAAACATTCTCCATCTAACTTTATCTTCTGCAATCCTTTCCAATTGTTATTAATTATTTTGATATCTGCTTCCAATTCCCGACGCAGTGTGTTATTTAGTCTTCCTCTTCTCCGTTTCCCATCAAGATTCCAAGTCAGAGCTTACTTCGTGATATAGTTTGATGATTTCTGTAATGTATATCTTATCAACTTTCAACGTCTTTCCCTAATTTTCTCTTTACTAATTAGTAACCATATAATTGTTATTAAAGCGACAGAGAACCTATCATTTTTAATATATCAATGTAAAACTAACCTGTTAGGCAAGAAAATGATGATTCATGTGTAGTATTCATCACAGATTGATCTCAGTCTCATAACCACTGAAAACCATGGAAAACTAAAATGTTTCGTCCTAGTCTGTGACTCCTCAGAAATGCTTGCCTACAACTCCAACAACATGGTTAATACATCTTGTTGGCTATCAGAAAATTATTTTTTTCAATAACTTCAGGGTATCTTGTGGACTCCTTCTAATCAACACTTTACATATCAGTGCTTACATGCATTATGTATTTATTTATTTAAACACATAAACATCGGTACAAGGAGGCACTAAATAGATATGCGCCACACAAATCATTCGATTTGTGTGAGGGCTAGAATACTACCCGGTTGCCCAAACCGAACAAGATGGTTTTCTTAGGAAGCCAAAGCCGGAGCTTTCGACCTAAAGGTCTGATCCACAAGATAGTAGAGCAACGTAAAGAGATGCATTACCATGGTAGCCGGTGACCAACAATAGGTTTATACGCCATTTGTTTCCTTACGATCTTGGAGCTATGTATATCATTGGTTTAGAATTAGGGTTTTCCAACTTCCCTAGGTGGACTCTCCGTGTCGACCGACCCGGCCAAAGCGCCATATATTCGCTTTTCGTCTTCTCAATTTCACTAGAAGGCAATGAGTAAGCCTTTCTTGGTAGCCGTTGTATGCACGTGGCCATGTGAGAGTATTTCGGGGGGGAGAGAGGACTTTCCCCACTCTCTACCGTACCAGATCATTTGGGAACCTTACATGCATTCTAATTATATATTCAGTGTATAAGAATAACACCTATTATTCACATCTTGTATTGTTTTTTTTTTTTCAGAATTTGAACGTACACATTATCCTGATTTAATAATAAGAGAACAATTAGCAGAATCAATGTTAATACCAGAATCACGTATACAAGTATGGTTTTCAAATCGTCGTGCAAAATGGCGTCGTGAAGGCAAAGAATTAAATCACAGTAAACAAGATAAATCACCAAGATCACCAAATTTAGATGAAAATCAAACTAATGATCAATATTATAATTATTCAATATTAAATAAAGTACAAGATTATACTAGAATAAATGATCATCATGAACCTATTCATCCTCATCATCATCCTCATCATCATTCTACTATGATATATCATCATGATGATTATCATCATCATCCTCAACAACAACAACAACAACAACAACAACAACAACAACAACAACAACAACAGAATAAACGAAAAGAAGAACAAATAAATGGGATTAGAAAAGAATATGGAAATATGAATTGGACTTATATGTCTACACCAATTGATCAAGAGGTAAGTCTTTCTTCTATGAAACAATAAAACTGATGTTAATGATTTCATTATAAATTCACCTGGAGCCCCCTTTGGGAGCTACTGTTGGTTCTAAGCTCGGATAAAAAGGAGGGGAGTCGGGTATGTGGTTAACGACCTCATCCCATAAAAAACTAACTCGCTAACAAAAACAAAAAAAAAATAATTCAAACCATTTAAACTCTACCTTAAGAATTAGAAGATCTTCATTTAGATCAATTATGACGACTCATGATGAATGCTAAGTTCCTTCTGACAATTAGAGTAATCATTCATTTAGATACATGGAATGTATGTACGATGTGGGACACCGAGAGAGTTATACAAATTACTGCAGAATATTTGTAAATTCGTATTTTTATTTCATCAATCTCATTGTTTGATTGATTAGAAAACATCATTAGATCTTACACATAGACTGAGTACGTCAAAAGCTGTATTTTCTGATTAGCGTTTTTTTAGCGAGTTAGACAACTAATGAAAATCTGTAAACATTCGTCAGTTGGTTTCAGTCAGTCTGTCTGTCAGTCGGGTTCAACGTAATACCAGACACATATATGTATCGATCCAAGTTGCCATACCTCATTAGCACAACAAGATAAACATCGAATTCATAGAAGTAGTGGTAGTAATATGTAAAAGAAAGTTTGCATATATGGATATAATACAGGAAGAAAGAAAGGTATAAAGCAATTTTAATCTCACGGTTTTAGGAAAGACAAAGTGTGTGTACACCGACGCCTTTGTGATCGATTGTGAGCCATGTCACTCAAAGTCTCCAACCATTGGTTATGACAGTTACGCGGACCAGAACCAAGTAGTCTGCACCTACCAACATGGCTCATACTAGAAATTAGTGATTTTGTGAACTGGTACCACGTTTTGAATTGGCCTTTCTTAACATTCTTACAACCATTCCCAATGCTAGTCATGTTGGTTTACCCTAATATGAAACTCAATAGTGATTATCTATGACCCCACCGAGGATAGAACTCGGGATCTCTAGATCACTTGGCAAGTACTTGACTTCCAGACCACTGAACTGTCACCTATTAATTTCCATCCACAAATTTGATCGATTAGCGATACCGGACAACCATTTTACAATGCCTTATCCTTGACAGGGGCGTGGATTCAGCCTTTAATGTGGTCTTCGGTGTGTATAGCTGAAGATTCCAATGCTAGGGCAAAATACCTGTCTAGTACTTCCGTGTTCTCAATAGTTGTTTGGATAAATTTAGTCTGTAATGCAAAGCATGAAACTCAACACTCTCTCAATTTCACAGTTGCTTGAAAATGATAGAAAGATTGATCTTTCATTAATCTAATCACAACAATACATGAATACCAAATTTTCAACCTGATATAACTGACAGATAAATACTGTTGATATATTTTAAAACCATAAGAAAAGAATCTGTTCATTACTTGATTGAGATCATGAATCGATTAACGTTGGTCCACCACTGAAAACTGTGAAGCACTAGACGACCATTTCGTCCTCTTGTGGAACTCCTCAGAAGTGTTCATCCACTACCTCTCCCCTCACATTTTGAACCCAGAACCTAACAGACCGCAAAAGCCCCTTCAACATATGCTCACTAGTGATGGTCTCCAAGATGTACTTCTTGGAGTTTCATTGAGAAGCAGTGGCCAAAGAAGTTCAATCGAGTCTGTTGTGATATAGTAACTCATTGAAGACAATGATGGATGTGTCGCTCAATTTCATAAATTGGTTGAAGTTAGACATTAACACTGTTAGATCCCGGTCAGCTTAGTGGTTCACGCGCAAAACCGATAGGTTGTAGGTTTGAATCTCACGAGGTGAGATCGTGGATGCGCACTTCTGAAGAATCCCACAGTCTAATACTTCCAGGGTTTCCATGGTGATCTAGTTTCAATTGTCTCATGATCTCAACTATTAAAATCACAATAATATCCAAAAAACGCCTTTGAATATCTTACTGTTTTTTTTTTGGTTTTTTTTCTGACTACTGCATTTAAGCATCTATCACCTAAGAAACTTTTCAATTATTCTGAACCATTTGATTCATTCAATGATAATATACCAAGAGATCATTCAAATCTATTCAATTCAATTTCTAATAATCAAACCGAAACTTATACAATTTTGAATGATGTAACACATTCAACTAATCATGATCATGTTATACCAACAAAAATCAATATAAATGATCCTATTCTATCGATTAATCATTATAATAATAATAATAATAATAATGATCTAGATCATAGACAAATACATAATATCATATCAAATAATAAAATGAATGGAATATCTATGGTGAATTCAGATTTTACTAAATTAAATTGTCTCTCATATACTAATCAATTGTTAGAGACGATTCATTCAGAGAATACTACTACTACTACTACTACTACTACGTCTACCACTACTACGTCTACTACTACTTCTACTACAACAACAACTACTACTAATACTACTACAAGTAATCATAATAGTGATATTACTATTAGTGCTACTACAACTACTACTACTACTACTACTACTACTACTACTACTAATAATAATAATAATAATAATAATAATAATAATAATAATAATAATAATAATAATCATGTAAATAGTTTAATGAGTAGTATACATACATTAAATAGAAATGATTCATTTGATATAGAATTGATTGATAAAACACAATTGAATCATTCAGATTATCAACCAATATGGTTGAATTCAACGGATCAAATACATAATTATAAAACAGATTCAATAAATCCTACATTATGGTATGGTATGACATATCCTCAACCAAGTACATTATCTACTGATTCTGGTATTGGTTCTCCACCACTCCCACCACCCCCATCATCATCATCATCGTCGTTGTCTATGCTGTCTAACAATGGTATCATTGGTAAGTCACCTATTTCTATTGGATATGACAATGGATCAACTAATCATCATCATCATCATCATTTATTACCACAAATACTTCCTGATACATCATCTCAATTATCTTCTATGGCTGTAGCAGCTGCAGCGGCTGTAGTAGCTTGGAACAATAATAATAATAATAATAATAATAATAATAATAATAATAATAATAATAGCAACAATCAAAACTTTACACCTAAATCGATAATAACATCTAATGAATATGATGTCATATTGAATTCTCATGAATCTACACCAATAAATTATGGATATTTAGGTAGAATTAATTCAGAATTTAATTTCATATCGAATACATCTACATCTTCAATATGTGCACTACCACCTTCATGTTGTTCTACAACTACAATATCTTCTTGTTCTTCTTCTTCATCGTCTTCGTCTTCATCTTCTTCTCCATTAGCTTCAACCTCTTCATTATCATTATCACACTCTTCTACTTCTTCATGTTCAACACATAATAATACTATAATTCATTTTGATTTAAGTAGTTTAGTTGGTCAAACACCGAATATAAACATCAATCATACTAATAATACTACTGATAATAATAACAATAATAATATAAGTAGTATAAATAACAGTTATTATGATTTTTCACGTTATTTTCAATAATTTATAAAATATATTAAAGAACAATAAATGAATTGAAAAAATAGTTTCTAAGTAAATGAATTCACTTCATACTTATTGTATTTAGTTATTTAATTAGTTAATTACTTTCTTACTTCTTTATTTATCTACTTAGTAACTATTTTATTGCACATCAATATCAAATGTTCCCTAATAATAATCCACTTTTTTTTTTGGTGCACATATTGGATTATACTTTTGTATTTGTACACTTACAGATTAGTATCTATTTAGGCATATGTATGTATGTATGTATTTATGTATGTGTGTGTATGTGTATGTGTATGTGCAACTGCACTACATGAAAAAGACAATCATTTTGTTGTAAACTAAAAAACCTTGTACATATAAACAATGAATTATTAAATGTGATATAATAGCAATTATTAAATGACATAGTTTCTTCTACTTCATTTAATGGATAAACTGAAAGATATAACTTCTTTAGTCATATCTATTACGTACTTCATTACTTACTTACTTAAGCCTGTTACCCCCTCCCCAGTGGAGTATAAGCCGACGACTAGTATTCTCCAGCACACGATGTCATAGGCCTACCTTTCTAATGTTATCCAATTGCTGTTCATTCTTCACATGTGTGTCTTCATTTCTCAGTGTAATGTGTTCTTTAATCTTGAAGATTCGAAGTGTGAACTTGTCTAATGAGACAGTTGGGTACTTTCCTCAATGTGTGTCTTATACACTTCCGGTGGTTCTTCTTGATTTCTTCCTCTACTGAAATCTGGTTTATACTCTTGCACATTAGGTTGTTCCTGATAGTCATATATATTATACTGTATATTGCAGATGGGTTGTTTAGGTTTTGAATAAAGTCCACTCTCCCTCTAGAACTGCTCTTACATGACCACTACCAGGGAAGTCCTACTCAATACATTCTCGCGCCACGGGTGTTGTTTACAGAATTGAGAGGACGAAAAGCGAATTTCCGGTGCTTTAATCGCGATCGCAGATACGGAGGATCCACCTAGAGGAATCGGTAAACCCTAATTCCAAACCAATGATGTACATGGAACCCAGGATCCTAAGGGAGCAAATGTGTATGAACCTTTTGTTGGTGATCGGCTATCATGGAACTGCATCTCATGAATTCGTTTCACTGTCCTGTGGATTAGACCTTTAGGTCAAAGGCTCGGGGTGTGGCCCCCCATGACAACCTCCTGCCTGAGTTAGGGCGCCCGGGTAGTATCCCACCCACAAATCAAATGATCTATAAGGCGCATTTATATGGTGTCTCCTTGTACCAATGTTTATGTGTTTAGCGAAATAAATAAGATAGATATGTTTAAGTCTTTATCGAAATTTAGACACCAGAGTAATGTATATTGAGTTACTAAATTACAACTAACAACTATATTTTCAATAGATGTTCCTTTTGTAAATTAGCTGTTTGGTATGTAGGGAATGAAATTAACCGAACTGATTGCTATCTATCTCTTCTTACTTTAAGATTCAGGAAAAAAAAATTGGGGAACTATACTTTTACATGGCAACATATTTTGGGTTTTTAAAACTTTCAGTGTTTAGATAATATCCTTAGATGAACTGATCTGGATCATCGAGTTGATAATGTGTATTGTTAATTTCATAATCTACAGTTTAAGAATCCCTATAGCACCTTCCTTGTGTATTTTAAACTGGCCAAAGCATTTGAAGAATGTTCTAGTAAAACTGACGCAATCATAGCAACATTGTACTTTTAACTATCCAATCACTCGCTCTGATTTCACTCGATCTAGTTCAATCCAAACATCCGAAATCTATCATTATCCCTCACACATAATGTGAAATGTCATCTAGATCTGTCTAATCTATGTTACCATGAATAGCTTTGAATCCTTAAGTCTTATCTATTAGGTTACTATATCACAATAAATGTAGACTTATTCAATAAAAAACAAAATCTATTCTGTTATTACTTAGTAAAACTGTGTATATTCCCATTATTAATATTCAAGACTACTACTATATACAATCCAAATTTTAAGAATTCAACAGTTTTCAGAATTCACTTAACAATCCTATCTGTAAAAATGACTTACTTAATTAAACTCTAGTATTTGAAAACATTATTATTAGTCTTAGGACTGGGTGGTGGTGGTGGTGGAGGATTTCAAAACCTAATTACAAGTTGTAAATAGAAATTATCAAGAAATATAGAAGGATCTATTTCAAGTTCCATAGAAGCTAACAATTTAAGAAGATCAGTTCATAAATTGAATTAGAAAGCATTGTATAGAATAGATTGTATAAATCTGTCATAGATCGAATCAGGAGTCTTCCAGGTTGTGTAATGAAAAATGAACCATTGGATAACTAAGTTGGTTCATATTTCTAAATTGAATCAATTCAAACCGATAAGTGAATATTGAAAAAAAAAATACTTTTGTGGAATGATTTTAGTAAAACTGACGTAATCATAGCAACATTATACTTTTAACCATCCAATCATTTGACTCTGATTTCAATCGATCTAGTTGAGTTCAAACATTTAAATTGGAATTCAAAAAATATTCCCTGAAGTTCTAATGAAAATCAATGATCAATGGAATTCAACCAAGTTTGACCTAATATCATAAATTGGTTGAAGTTAGACATTAACACAGTTAGATACTGTACAGTCTAGTAGTTTAGAGGTTAAGCATTCTCTTGTGACATTGATAAATTCCAGGTTCTAATTCCACGAGTATGATCGTGGATGTACACTGCCACGAAGTAGTCCCACAATAGGATAAAACAACCATCCAGTACTTCCAAGGTTTTCCATATTGAAATTACTAAAATCTCCACAAAAACCCCTTTCTGAAAATCTGAAAGAAAAAATTCACATTGATATAAAAAGAGAACTCATTTTTTTTTTATTTTGTAACGACTTGAAATATCTTCATTCTTTTATTGATACAAATTATATTAGTAATCCTGTCATTATTATTATTATTATTACTCTAATGATCTGAAAATTAGATCATCCCTATTTGTAAAATTGTATATATTTACTTGTGTGTGTGTGTGTGCGAGGTGTGTGTGAAAGAGAAGGAGGTATATGTGTGTGTGTGTGTGCGAGGTGTGTGTGAGAGAGAGAAGGAGGTGTATGTGTGTGTGTGTGTGAGGGTGAGGGTATGTTACAAATCAATTCAGTTTTCATCAAACTCTTTCTATACATCGTATACTTCTTTTAATACTTTTACTAATTTCAATTTTGATGGAGTTTTATTCTCTGAGCTGAATAGTTTCTATTCCAACTTGCGTTGTTCAATGTTGTTTTAGTGTAAATTTTAAAATATAGAAAAACTAAACATCATTGAATAGAAGAGAATAGAAGAGAAAAATAAATTTGTAACGCAAAAAACAATGTGAAAATAAGATACACAGAATGATACAAGTAAACATATAAACATCCATGACGTATATACAACACACACACACACACAAACATACATACATACATACATACATACATACCTGCATACCTACATATCTACACAATAATAAGTCGAAGCGAGTCAACTAAAGGAATGTTAAAAACATAGAGAAAGAAGAAGGAAAAGAAATATCTCCACCCAATTTTTTATACCTGCATACCTACATAGATACACACATACATACATACATACAGATATATGTACACCCTCATCCCCTCTTCAAAAAATAAAAAAAAAAGACAACGACTAATATCCATTCTTCCGCCTCATTTGTCAATTTTCCGCAACATTGCGCACCAATCACAGATAAGGTCAGATGACTCGAGAAGAAAATTAAATCAACCTAGATCATTAAATAGTTTTACTCTATTACATGATGACTGGTCAGATGATAGCCTGGTATATTCAAGCTTAATCACCATTATTATAATACTGAGAGGAATAATAATAATAATCTGTCTATATAGGGTATAATCAATCATTTGCCAAGCCATACCACTTCTCCCTATAATAATAATAATAATAAAAACTTTAGAAAGTAACATGAATTCAATCATAATTTCCAAGTTATTCATAAACACAGGTCTGTTGTGAGATAGTAACCCAATGAAGATAATGGTGAATGTGTGACTCAATTTGTTGGATTGGTTGAAATGAGACATTAACACCGTTAGATGCTAATCGACTCAGTGGTCTAATAGTTAAGCGCTCATATGCGAGACTGATCTGTCCTGGGTTCGAATCTCGAGGGGGTTGGGGACCGTGGATGCGCACTGCCACGGGGGAATCCCATACTAGAACAAATTGGTCGTCCATTGCTTTCAGGTTTTCCATGGTTATCTGGCTTCAATTGACTCATGATTTTAACCACTGAAACACACATATACGCAGATTATAATATAGTTCAAAATAATCTATTCAACAACAAAATTTCCATGGTTCTATCTTTTAAAAAATTCTACCTGTAGCTCTTCCAGAGTTACTGTTGATTCAAAGACCGGGTAAAGGAGGAAGGTTGAGTATGAGGTCGGCAACCTCAACCCAGTAGAAAACAGCCTTGCTATAAAAAAAAAGCCGCCAATCGGATTAGACAAATTAAACCATTTAAACTCTTTCGTGAGAGTTGTAGGAAGACCTATGACATCACATGATGAAAGCTGAGATTCTTCGGAAATCACGAGGTTCATGTCTTGTCCCAACAATCACAGCAACAATCTTTATAGGTACATGGAACATTCAGAACATGTGGTAAACCCGGAGGACCAGTATCCTTTAAAACTTTCCTGATTGCTTCCAATAAGAAATACATAAATATTTTTAGATGTGCCTATGTATTGAAAATGGGATTACTTGTCAGTGATTAGCTAAACATGAAATGTGAAAAGTTAATTTGAATTTTATATGGTTCAGTTTATAACTGATTATTATATTTCTCATATTTAAACAATTAAATATATCAATGGTTAAGATCATGAGTCAGTTGAAGCTAGACCACCATGGAAAACCTGGAAGCACTGGATGACCGTTTCGTTCTACCATGGG